CCTTTTTTTTTTTTTTTTTTTTTTTTACTACCATTTTAAGTTTTAAACAAACTTACAAGTTACCCAAAAACAAATCGTGAAAAAACAATTCATAGAGTGGAGATCATACTAATTAGTAACTACTTACCCAAAAACAAATTGCGAAAAAAAGTTCAAAAAACTTCAAAAAAGGCTAAAACAAACCTATAAAACAAACACTTAAAAACAGCACTTTCGTGGAATTTCGCCAAAAAGCCAAAAGTGCACTTTCACCAACATGGCAACATGCCAATTTCTGAGATCTTGAGAAATTTCAGAAATCTCATCAGAAAAAAAATCGCCAACATTTCAATTTCAGAAATTTTGAGAAATTTCAGAAAAAAAACTCCTGAGAAAAAATTCCAGTTGCCCAAATCATACGAAATTTGGCACACGGCAACCTTAAACCAAAAAAAAAAAAAAAAAAAAAAATCTGACCCCCAAACCCTAATTTCAGTTTTGGGACCCGTTAGTCAGGAGCTGAAAGTGGGGGGTCCCCGTTAACCACATTTGCTCAGGGCATACTCTCACTAGCACTATCTCAAATGTATCTGACCGCATTTACGGCCGTACCTGGATGTATTTGACCACAATTGCGTTCATAAATAAGGAACAAACTTAAAAAAAGTCCTCGTGCGAGTATGCCCTCGGTCGTGTGTTTACGAACAGCGTTTGTGATGGTCATAGTCTCTATCGCGAAAGCCGAGACAAAGGGCGTCGTTGCACCACTCGCCAAAACGCCAGCATTCTCGCCAGCATTCTGAACGTATCTGAACCTGGAAGTGGTCCCGGTACATTTAAAATGTTGGCCTTTGGCGAGTGGCGCGACAAGGTCCTGAGGCATTCTACATGTGATATCGTCTGTGTGGCGTTGCGTGCTTCGCCTCTGTGCTTTTGCAATCCCATGCCTCCGCAGCGCGATTCCCACTCGTAAATAAATAAGTAATGTGTCCAGACTCCAGACCCCATAGACCGTGCCACACTCATCCTATTTGTGTGTACGTTAATGTACGGCAAATACCTCATTAGGCCTCGCTGCACTGCTCACCTGATGTGCAAAATGGAAGATGTATCTTTCATAAGAACGTGGTAAGGTACGCCTGCCATAGTTTTGGTCTTGCTCACATTCGGTAAGTGGTGCGGCAAGGGCTTATGTAGTATTCCTCTGACCGCTGTGACTTGGCCAGTTTTTTTCCCTTGGTTCTTTTTTCTTTTTTTTTCCTTTCTTTTTTTTCTTTTTTCTTTTTCTCTCACATTAGGTGGATGGTGCAGCGAGGCCTCCTGTATCCTCCGGCCACTGTGAGAGTTGGGTAGTTTTCTTTTCTTTTCTCTTTTCT